CCGGCCTCTACGGGAGGGTGGCAAGAATCCATCTCTAAAGGAAGTCCACATAAAAGCATGTAAGCCATTTGCTACAAAATTCAAGTTCAAGTCTATATTTATGGCACATTTACAGACAACCACTTGCTGTCCCAAAGTGCTTTACGTATAATTAATACACCACAACATATTAAAGATAAATTACTATAACTAAATTATAAAGTAAATATTAATAAATATCAATCACAAATGGGATTAAAAGCCAACTCAAATAAATGAGTCTTAAGCAAAGTCTTAAATCTTTCCAGGGTCTGAGCAGCTCTGATATGAAAAGGCAGAACGTTCCGTAATTTAGGACCAACGGCTGAAAAAGCTCTGTCACCTCTGGCTATTAGTCTGGTAGCTGGGACATCCAGAAGCAGTAAGCAAAGCATACGATGTGGGAGAAAGATTTATGGTCAGATGAGACCAAAATAGAACTTTTTTTGCCAGACTTCAAAGAGGTATGAGTGGTGTAAGTCTAGTCTAACACTGCCTGTGCCTGAAGAAATACCCACCATGCATTGAGTGAGATACGGTGAAGTCAGCATCACGCTGTGGAGATGCTCTTCATGTGCTGGGACTGGGAATCTGGTCAAATCTTGCTGAAGGGACAGTGGATGGGCACAAATACTGCACAATATTTCAGGAGAACTTCCAGTCTGCTATGAACCTACGGCTCAGGAGAAGATTCATCTTTCCGCATGACAGTGACCCTAAGCATAAGGCCGAAGCGACACTGGAATGGCTGAAAAACAGAAAGGTGAGTGTTCTGGCGTAGCTGAGTCAATGCCCCGATCTTAAGCCTACTGAGAATCCACAAATTCAGAGTTAATTTTTCTTCAGTCTGACAGCACAGCAGTTCACCTGAACTGTATATAAGTCTTTGCGGGTCATTAGTCCTCAAACGCTATGCCTCTGTAAATCTGCCTCATACGCAGAGAGCTAACAGGTGCCTGTTCTGGATAAGGAGAGGTCTCACCTGGTCCATTTTCATCAGAAAACCTTTGTGGTTACCTTTGGAACTGCATTACAGACACTCACTGTTGTGTTAAAGCTCCTGTTTTGGCTAATTTCTTAAATTTTTCCCATTTACAGAACGTATTTCTTTAGCAGTTGTTTTTATTTCAGCACCATGGACATTTATTTTGGCTTGGTGGCTTTCATTAAATAGTAACACTTATGTATGATGTTTTATTAAACAGCAGTGACGTATTTACACAGTGAGTTGGAGCCTCTTTACATAGACAGCTTCCTGCTATATAGACCCTAACCATGACCACTGCTTTATTTTATTTGTCTTCACGGGCATCTTTGTACGTAAAGCCGATTTTTAACACATGAAGTCCATGAAGGAAGCATATTAAGCAACGGCGAGTTTGCAGATTTTTCACTAAAGGGAAACAAAGTTTCCAGGCTTAACGTGTGTGGGATTTAAACTGCCGTCAGGTTTAAGCGGTGGCCATGGGGTCCCTCGCAGTGTAAACACAGGACATCTCCAGTGTCACCAGTCAAATTTCTTATCCAGTTTTACCGCGACTTCTTTGAGCTGAGGACCCAAAGCTGTAAAGTCTGTCAGGCTGGTCATAATGTAAAGTCAACAGCATCACTGCCCAAGATCTAGGGCTTATGGATTAAGGATCTCTGCAGATTATGATATCTTGACTTTAATCAGGCACATTTTAGAAATGAAGGACAGATTCATAGCTATGCCAGTTTGGACTAAAGTAAAGATTTATGGAAATCATACAGGTGGTACTGTATATAGCGTTACTAATATTAATACACTGATTGTATTAGTGACAACATTATAGGCTAATAAATGGAATGTATCTATGGTGATCAATGCTTTTGTAGTATTTTCATTTGTTTTAGTATGGTAAGTATATTCATTCTGGTCTTTATTTAAAAGTCTTCGTTACATTTATTTATATTGTACATTCTGACATTTTATGGTTAGGATACGTTGATTGGGTAGGAACACTGGATGGCGCTGTTGCTGCACACTTCTCGTTTTTGGGATTGCCCCCAGTTTGTGCTTGTGTGGAGTTTGCAAGTTCTTTCTGCAGTGTGCAGTTTTCCCCATTTATTCCGCAGCCGTGGGATCCAGCCTGTGGTCTTGCTGCTTTGGGCGGATGGATACATTGGTTGTCCTCTAGGTGGCACCATTACTATTGTTCATTCACATGAGCAGCGTTCTACGTTGGATGATTTGCAAAGCGACTGAAGAAAACAGAACTTTCCTATGTTATACAAAGCTATACGGACGAGAGAGCATACGGAGAGAGCATCCCCTGATTGCAGAACAAACCATATGATGTCTTGGCAGACAAGGCTGTTAGCATGTTGCAATACTTTGAGGTGATCAAACAGGCTTGGGATTTGGGGCAACCACTCTGCCTGTGGTCCAAAGTAAAGAAGAAGAAACAAAGGATGGGAGACCATGCTATTATAAATCATAATAGTAATAAGCCGCATTAAAATTTGGAAAGTCCTGCAAGCATGTCTCAGCATCCTGGCACACCACAGGAAAGTGGTGGATCATAAAGCCTGAGAACACGTGGCACAGGTCTCAGCCCTGACACAGGCGGCGGCGGCGGGAGGGGGGGGACACAGTCCAGTCCAGCTAGGAAGGCAGGAGCTGAACATAGAAAATCATCATTCCAATAGGCAATGTTTCACAGACAATTCCAGGAGGCAAGGTAACGTCAACCTCCCTAGAGCAGGAATGGAGTAGAGAGTGTCAGGGAACACTGAAGGGCTGATACAAGTCCCAGAGGAGACTAGCAGCATGTTGGGTCCCGAGGTGGTAGCAGTTTTTCGAAAACAAGACTGTAAATGACTGTCCCACGGGAGCGGGTCTAGCAAGCCTCGCACTCGCAGAATTCTACAAAAGTGCTTAATCTACCCACTGGACCTGGAAGACACCAGCAGTACAGCACCTTAAGGATGTGGAAGTAGAAGGCAAAGCACTCGGGACAGCAGAAAAGCAGGTATTGAAGGAAGTTTAGAAAGCCACGCCTCGCTATTGTTGCCATAACAGTTATTAAAATCGTTAATGCGAATATCTTTAATACAATGTTGGAGCATATTAAAGAAGAGACCCTTCTACCAAGTTCCGCCATTAAAACTGCAATGCCGAGCTGATTAACAGGTCACGGCAGTTTAAACGTGGATCACGCCGGCAACTAAGTTACATCTGGACAAAAACGAGTTAAAACGGTTGCGACAGTTACTGTGGCAGCCAGTGGTACGCCGAGGTAATCTAACACCGTGGGGCGTCCTCACTCGCCTGTTCAATTATCTTCAAAAATACTCTTTATATACATTGTAAATAAACAGTGCGATCTAAATAGTGATCAAATTTCTTCAAGCTATCTTTTCGTAAGTTTCTTTAAGTAATATTTCTTATTTTGAATAGGCCTATAATTCCTCTACACAACACCTCACGTTTACAACCTCCACACAGGAACTTTTATAGTGAAGCGAAGATAGATTACTTTAACTGATTATTTAATGTTCTGCTCGTTAAAGTTAAAGTGTTTTTAGAGTTTTCAAATTTGTTGAAAAAAAATCTTTGTTAATTAAACAAGGTAGCCTATAATTTTAGGGGTTTGTTCTTATTGCCGTTGAACACCGCTGACTGTATATAAATCAGGGTAAAATACAAACTATAATGGACAGTTCTTCACAACATGACGGCACATAAACTTGTAAAGATTATGTAATTTCATGCTGTACAAAATGTTCTATAAACATATGCTTAACATTCAATATCATTTTGACCACATATAATTTCATCATGCTTCAAATTATCGGTAATTAACATTAAACAGACTGGACCGTGTATTTGCAAACACATAATATAAAATTCAAAATTACAAGCAGTGCATTATTTCATTATATTCACTTAGGACTAAGGCGGCTTTCCAGATCAGAATCACAACGCGGCAGACCACAGTGTAATCGCCTGCAGTTTAATAAACCAGTCTGCCGGGTCTGCGGAACAAGCTGGAATAGTACGGAAAATACCTCATTATCTCAAACGCTTGTAACGTGCAGGCTGAAGCTCTGCTAATATCCTGTAGACGGAGTGCTGGCGGTGGCATTTGTGTCAATGGCCTCTGTCTGTTTTGGCAGGAATACGTCAAATGGCAGATCCGAATAGTATGAATACTCCAAGAGCCTGTATGGAATTTGTAGCACCCTAAAATGGTTCCTTTAAAAGCTTGGTAATGGAACTTGAGAATTGTGATAACTTGTTATTACACACACACACACACACACACACACACACAAACACACTTATTTTGGTTATTATGTATTATTTGCAAAATGTGCCAAGGAGTATAATTTAAAAAGTAACTTATTTAGCTAATTTCAATTGTTAATGTTAGCTGGGCTGATGTAAGAGTTTGTATAAAGTAATTACTAATATATTTACATGCATGTAACATACATGACAGATATATGACACTTTTATGTGGTTAACCCTGGACTATGAGTTGCCGTGTTCAAACATCAGAAATAGGTACACGATGTAGGCCTCATAATTCCTAATGTATTGTAGCCTATATGAATAAAATGTACTGATCATAACTGTGTAACGTACGATAGACAGCCGATAAAATATCAGTCAGTGATTCTGTAAGTTCACTCATTCATCGTTTCTCTTTCAAGCATTAATTCATTTCCATCGTACAATGTGCACAAAATGTAAAATACAAAAGACGGTAATGTAGACGGGTCAAAATTGCTTTACTTTCATAAATATTCGGCATTAACGAGTTATACGATTTAATCAGCTTGATTAAAATGGGGGAAATTGTCAGTTTGAATCAGGTGGGCACAGCCTAGAAATTTTTCGGAACAAAGAAGAAAAACGTGCGGATAATGACCGAACGGACTGCGGCGCGTTTCTTACTGGCCGCGTGTCACGTAAAAGTTAATTTGGGGAAGCGTGCGCGCGCGGCGAGGTGCTGCCCGCGAGACGTCGCCCCCCGTGTCTGCGCGCTTGGTCTCGCCCAAACCCGGCTGGGCTTTTCTCTCTCGCTCCGGAGGCTCGGGGTCCGTTTTGCTGGTAGTCAAGGTTCAGGCGCTGTCAATGGCTCGCAGGACGTATTCCATTTGAATGCCTGGGCTTCTCATTTTATTGCATCAAAAACGCGCAATTATGGATATCATATCTTTTTTATGGATACTACCTACTGTATGGGCTGTTGAAGGTAAGGCATACGTGTTCATTTTTTTTTCCGAGAACAAGTGCCGATCGTGGCTTGTAAGATGAAACGTTTCAGCGACAATTTGGGACAAGGTGTAGGGAGATCGCTCTGCTTGCGGGCGAGCTGCCAGGGCACAAATCCCTTGAACCACGTTGCCTGGATCATTTTAAAAACCACTTGTCTCTATCATCAATATATGGGTAATTAAAATGTGCTGTGCGCCTAACTAGATAAAATATATAACAAAGGTAGTTCGTTAGACTGGTAAATAAAAAAAAAAACCCGACGTATTGTGATAATTTACATATGTGAGAAAGATAACGTAACGGGTATCGCTGAACTTGTGCGAATCGCAACAGGCTACTATATTAAATTAGATGATAAAACGTGATTCGGTTCAATTTTCTATGAAAAGTTAGTTTAAGCAGCCGCAATAAACTGCGGTATGTGCTATTTGATTCATTTTTCAGATTTTAAAACGTGCATTTGCGCGTTTTAGAGGTTGTAGATGATGTTAACGATGTCGGTCTATTATGAATACTTAAGAAATGTTTTATGATCGTTTTTCTTATCGGGCTGGGTGATGCCTAATAATTATCTTGTCTGATTATCATAAAATGAATCAGTTTGTGTAAAAGCAGAGCTGTATGTGCAGTCGGGTATCTGCACACTGGACTTTTGCAGCGTGTTTACTGAGAAGCCAGTCGGATGCAGGCGCATTGTTTGTAAGCGAAGATGCCGGGGGTGTTTGATGCTCCCCGTGTGCTTTGCAAGCGCTTTTTATTGCAATTGCAGATTGTTTAGGAGCAACCTTGGCTGCAGTAACGCCGTGTTTCGACACCTCCCCCCCCCCGTGATCGTAAGACAGGCCCCTAGATTGAAGTCCTATTTACTCTGCAGCTTAAGAGCACGCAGCGGACCGTGAAACGGGACCATTACATGTACTGCTGCCTAATCAGCCTGCCTCTTGTCTATCTATCTATCCATCTATCTATCTGTCTGTCTGTCTATCTATCTATCTGCCTATCTATCTGTCTAGTGATGGCTGCGTAAATATGTTTATCGGTGAAAAAGATGCACTTTATGTTAAACTTTATCAGCTTATCTGATGTGATAATTTGGGCGCTGACAATAGATGCGTTACATTTTATACAAAGTCATATGTAATTACAAATAATGCCATCGCCAGTGGTTCAAAATATTGGCACAAATTTTAACATTGACTGTTACATATAACATTGAGGAAAATACTGACTTATTTGCATTCCTTATGCTCTTGCAATTGTGATTATTAACTGAGTATAAAATAAGCCCTAACACTTCAGTTTTGTAATTTGCCAAACATTTCTCTATAGTGTGGAAAATATATGGGCTTAATGTATATATGCACTTATATATAATAAAATACATTTTTCTCATCACTGTTACCTAAGTCAAAAGAGAAATTACGCTTAAGTACGTTTGATCAATTAAGCCCAGTGTGGAGTCGTTCAACTTTATTTTCCCTTATAAAAATGTTTTAAACGGCCACATGGCTACCAAAATTAAATAAGCACTGCTTATGTCTGATAGTGTTTTCTTTGAGGCACCCAAACCTTTTTCGTATAAGCCCCCACCGAACAGTCTCTATGTTTTTTTTCGCACTTGTGCAAAGTTTTGTGTCCGCCTATGTACCGCCGTCCGCTTTAATCTCTGGGTTTTAAGTGTCTTAATAAAGTGCCTCGCTGTCTCCCTCACAGGCAGGTGCTCGGTAGCTCCCCCACCTATGGAAATCAAACGTTGTCTAACCAGCCGTGTATCTCGCCGAATACCGTAGATACGCAACTCGGGATTGGCTGGAAGAGCGCTTCTTTCAGCGGATAATCACATTTAAGATCATTTCGCTTTGGATGCAGTGAGTGTGAAAATGGCATCCAGTCCCTTCTGGCTTCAGCCTCTTTCTTAGTTTCTCAGATCGGCGCTTTGCAGCGTCGCCGCTCGGGGATGAACGTAGGAAAGACGCGAACTGCTGCGCATCGGCGTGGTTTGCGGGCACATCGAGGCCATTCCAGCATTAATTATTCAACATTTTACTTTGTAGCGACACATACAAGAACCGTCAGATTTATTTAAAGGATTTTCACAGAGGTTTAATTCCCAGATACGTCGGTAAAGCAGATTCAATGAAGTTTACATGACTATTTAATTAACTACATATGAACCCTCTTGTGACTTAAAAGAATTGTGCACCAGTAGCATAAAAAAGGTCACCATGCACTTAAGGATAACACAATCATGGGTAAACATAATAAATTGTGTAGTACAAGAGAATATTGCTTATTTTAAATTTGTAAGCAGACAGACTGTACAGTGTGTCACAAATGAATTAGTTTAAGATCATTTTAACTTCTTGTGGTTTAATTTAACATGATTCTGTGCCCGCATGGATAGTGAAAAATGACACCTTTAGCTCTCGAAAGTGAGAGGGCACAGCTGAATTTCACAGCTTCTTAGTGTGTTTTTTTCAGTGGCTGTAACCAGGGTTGCAGTCCTAAAAATAAAAATCGGGGGGGAAATGACATTGTCATCATCAGAACCTCAGTTTCATTCGTCCAGAGCGACGTCGTGTCTGGTTGGGTTTGTGGTGGTTTGGAGGAACAGTGCGTATGGGAGTATAGGTAAGACACGGAGAGCAGATACTGCACAGAGAGATAAAGCACCGCGTGGCCCGTTCCCAGAGCCCTCCCTGGTGTGCGGGGCAGCCATCAGCGCTAACCCAAAGGGGCTTTGCTTTGGCACCATGACGGTGGCCTAGTCACACTTTTGGGTGGGATACAGGCCATGTCTGGGGGTGGAAAAATGACGGACGCCGGCTTTACTCTCAGTACCTCGAGTCCCTTCATTTTGGCACCTTTTTGTAGCTACTGGCAGACGCTTAAGGACGTTTGTGGTGACAGAAGTCATATATGTGTCTTGGAAAGAGGTCACTGCCACTATAACGATAATAATGGTCCGACAAGAGTAACGGAGAGCGGCAGAGCGAAGGCGACGGCAAAAACGAGAGCAGCACAGCCGACCCTGGCACTGCCGCAAACTGGAACGAAGCCTCTGACCTTAACGAAGCATGTCCGTCAGCTTGGTCCTCACAAATGTGCAGATTTTGCAAACATCACGTTTTAAAGTCTTTTTAGAGAAGTATACATTTTCACTCTTAATCCACATTATTTATCAAAAATAATGATGCTGCTTTTTATTTCATTTTTTATTTTATTTTTTCCTCTGAATTACTTTGAAACAGTAATTTAAGAATAAATAGTTAATATGAAGATGATGGAGGAAATGAGGTAATGAGTAACAGACTGAGGTCTGTAAATTATGAATAATAAAAAAAACGCTGAAAACCCATTTCATTTATTATTTGGAAACTGACTTTTGCGTGGTTTCAGAGGAGTACGGTGAAGAACAATGGATTTTACTGCACAATTACCGTAACATCAGTCAATGGAATAATTCTATATTCTTGCGCCACAATAAAATGGAATCTTAGTGTATATGTGCATGAAGACCTCAATTCATAGCGCAGACATATGTAAGGTATTTAATCATGGAAGTGCCTGTAATGTTTTGTAATTTTGTTACGATGCCAGGTTACTGCCATTTTAATGGTATTGGCTGTTTTACCGATATATATTTGAGTTTCGCTTTTGTCGTCTGTCGGTTTTGGCAGACGGTGCTGGTGGTCTTCATGCCAGTGAATAAGTTGAATTCTTGTTTAAGAAGAGCTGGGCTGTCTGTCACTAGAGCCGAAAAAAAAATGGTTTGCTCATTGTTCGTATAAAATGCTTTTAGATTTGTTAATATTTTGTGGTATAAATCATTTTTTTAGATTGATGAATGACTGCAAAGTTTAATGTGATGCGTCATGGACACGGAATAATGGAAATTACAGGGGTGTAACTGAGGCTTTGTTTTTTAAAGTGAGACAATTAAGCAAACCTGTAATTAACGTCAGCTAAAAGATTGTAATTCCTGTATTAGTATGGAGTTTTAGCACTTATTCTGGTTTATTCGTACGTTTTTTGCATTAATTTGACCAATTTGTTTGAATACATTTTAATATATATGTAGTTTCCTTAAAATTATATATTTTAATATAAATAAGTAATAGCTAATAACTGGTGAAAATATGTCCTTTTGAGACTATATATTACACAAAATAAACGGTGTTAAATTGTCCGCTATGCTGTGCTTCTGTGAATCGCTCTGTACGGGTCTGCGCCTGCTGTTTTACTGCTTAGGTGGGAAATGTGTTTGACTGACATGTTTATCTTCAAAGGCAGCGCAGGTGAACACACCTACCATGCACTTTTTCAGAGGTTCACAGCAAAAAGATTAAGAAACGGGCCAGAGGAGTGGTGAACACGAGGCCTCGGAAATCTAACTCTTTCTCGAGTTTCTTTGCTGGACGGAGGAGCAGCTGCAGGCCCTCTGGCTCCCGGCCGCCGCCTGCTTCAGCCCGGGGCCCGAACCCGCTCCTGTGGGCAGTGCCACGCGGGTCGCCAGCCTGTGCCAGCGGCAGCGTGGTCAGTGTCGGGTTTCAGTGACTTCTGCCTCTCGCCTTCGGGTGGGAGCTTTGAGGGTAGACGGGGAGGCAGGCCTTTGTGGACGTACAGCCCCGGGAGGCTGAGCCCCCGGAGCCAGAGTGCCGTGACCGCGCCCCCCCCCCCCCCCAGCATCTCGGTCTTTGCTGGTTCATGCCTGTGATACGCCATACAGCAGAGACTCAGTCCCTAAAGAAACGCGGGTCTTTCCTGCATGTTCCCGCATCCCTTGGGCAGGTACCCCTTTGCCCTTTTCTCCTGGGCTCCGTCTGCCTGCGGAGTTTATGTTTCCTTCCCACATTTGCCTGGGTTTTCTAGGATTCATAAAAGTCAGAGAATGTGCAGGTCAGGTGGAACGGCGACGCTCTAAATTTCATTAAATGCGTGATCTTCTGTATTAGCAAGTGTCTTGCGATAGACTGG